TCCCGGACTATGCGAGCTATGATGTATACTTTTACGGGAGATAAATAAAAAAAAATACATTTACACGAGAACTAAAATAAATTTTAACTTCTTAATTGATAAATGCGGATGTAGACTATAGACAATTTTAAAATAGATTCAACTTTTTTTTTCTTAAAAATAACATTAAAATTTGATTTTTTTCTGCTATTTATAGGATTTTAAAGTTCTCAATTAGCCCATTTTCTATTAGTGCTCGATATTGCGAGGTGTGACTGTATTTTTGTTAGTATATATAAGGAAATTATTCATTAGTTTATAAATTATATTTTTGGAATGTTTATTTATATTTTTTGTCTCTATAATAATTAAAAAATAATGTTGGGTTTTGCTAACAACATTTAGATTTTTTTAAAGGTTATTAGTAGTTCGATTTTACTTAAATGACAAATAAATTACAGTGATTACGATTTGCAATGAAGAAAACATGTTTTTTTTAAAACAAGTTTTTATCAAATTTACTGATTGAGTTAGCCATGACAAACATTTTTCGATAGTACTTCTAGATTCCTAGCAATTATGATATAAAATTTTATATGTTTTTGAAATTATTCATTTTTATTAGAAGCAATAATAAATATTTTGTACTAACTACATTATTTCATAATTTCGTTCATAACTTTTTGAAATATTTATTAAAAACAAAATATGTTTACGCTATTTTTCTATTAGTAAGGAAACTAATAGTTTATTGTTAATATTCAGATATTTTTTCCAACAAATTTCTATTTTTATTTGAATAAGAAAAGAATTGCGGTGGTTTTCGATTTGAAATGAAAACGAAATGAAAATTTGAAAACTTTCTTCTTTAGATAATAAATATAACAGTGAATAAGAAAGTGACTTGCACCAGATGTTTGAGGCATTAATGTAAGTGAATACATTAATCATCTGTATCAAAATAGATCGAGTGAGAATTAACAAGAGCTACTACTACCACTACTTCCATTCGATGGGAACTTTCATTGTAAAAGAGTTTCAGCACGAAAACAAATAAGCAATGAATAAAGTGTACTTTCACATTTTGGCTATAGATAATATGCATTCAATTTATGAAAAGGATGAACGTGAATAATTACATAATATAAGTGTACTACAAATGAATGTGGTTTGAGAAAAGAAGTTTGTTGAGAACATTTTCAGTTTACTACTATTTAAGATTCAAGTTTATCGCTTGATATTTAAAATAGTTAAGCAAATCGTGACGAAAAGAATATTTGGATGGGTGAGCTATGAAATTGGAAAGTTTTGAAAACAATTATAATCAAAGGTGTAATTATTAATAATACAGTTGTAACTATAACAGTTTTAAAATTATTTATAAGACGCACCAAATTTAGAGACGATTTATTGAAAAAATCTTTTAATGTTACCTTCGGACCAGACGCACTTAAATTTCAGTCCATTTTTCTAAGTGCGATCGGAATGTTCTCTTGTCTTTACTTAGCACTTTTAAATTGATCAAATATTTTTAGTAGATTTTTAAATTATAATTGTAAAAGGTTAAAGTATAAATTATGAAGTTCAATAACCTTACAAGATATTACATTCAGTTAGCGTATTAATTTAGATAGTATACACATATTTATTTATGTAAAAAAAGAACTTCTAAATTATAATAATATTCATAATTCTTTATGATTTTACTATTTAAATAGTAACAAATTTAAAGTTTTTTGTTTACTCATGTTTTATTATTATTTGATAGAAAAATTACTTACTTATTTTATGATAATATAGGTACTTTTAAAATTTCTCTAATTATATACATTATAAAACTAGTAAGTGAATACAATCTTGTCTTAACTTACGTAATTTCTAAACTTTCGTAGATTAACTCTTTGAGGGTCGGTGGTACCATCTTTTGAACATGTCTAGTGGGGCATTATTATATTGTTTTATGAAGTGTCTACGAAAGAGGAATTATCTTTAAATTTGGTTGGTATGTCAAAGGATGAATCTTGATAGGCAATACCATCCGATGTTGATTCAGTTGTCTAGATTTGTTGGGTCTAGAATTTGGGGAGCAATACTTAAGTTAGAGTTACCTAAGCTGGCCTAGATTGACTTACAATCTAATCCACCTAAGTTGGTGGTGTATCTTCTCCTTCTGGTATATCTCATTGTTGGTTCCTATGTCTCCTATTATTTATTTTTGGAATTGACATATCGTCAGAATCATAAAAAAGTATTAATTACAAAATTATAATTCTAGTGATTGTTTTCATTCTTAAATTATGAAGTGCTGTATTTGGTTTTGTTAGAACGTCATGCATATCCGTATTTCGAAATTGAATATGTATGACTCTGAATATCCGATGCGTAGAACGTTACGTCAGCGATAAGCTTTCCATTTAGTTTTCAGATAGAAAAGAAACAAAAAAAACTGTTAAATTTTTTATGTTCGTTTTTTCTTTCGTATTATAATTTGCAACCATTCAATCACGAGAAACATTAATGCCTGTTTCATTTATGTTCTAAAAGAAATCATTCTAATCTATAGATTAATGAATTTGTCTTTTAGAAAAAAAGTCTTACCATAATACTTATATTGTATTAAATTCAGTTAGAACATTAACATTAATTCCTTAAATAATCTGAGTTCTCCATCGAAATATTTCTACCTAAACAATTATTTTTTTGAAAATTCTTCATGATTATAGTTAAAACTTACCAAACTGGTATAAAATAAATTCCAAATAAAAGTAATAATGTATTCACTTGTAATTATCGTGATTTTTCGATTAGTCATCCACGACGATTATTTATGATGTTTGTGAAAAATGTTATTTAAATTAATATTTACAAGGTTGAAAATAATTTGATTTTAAAAGTAATTTCATCATTTTCATTTGAACATTTGCGTGAATTTGAAAAGCAAAGTTTTCTATGCAAGCAGAAAATCGAATAAAAATAGTAATAAAAATTGTATAATGGAAAATTAATTAATTAAAATGCATGAGTAATATTTTTATTTTAGAAATATTTAAATATATTTGAGTTTCAACAAGAGAATACATTTATTTTGAAATACGTTTTGCATACAAAAAATGAGAGAATTTGATTTCGTTAAGATAGATTTTGTATATATATTATTTTATTACTTGGCAAGTACTGCGTAATATGTGCACAATGAATGTACAAAAAGTATTGACAATAGGAAAATAGTACTAATTTTACATTTGAATAATATACAAAGGTGTGCACTTACTTTAAGTATTATTTGAATACTTGGCAAGTGCTGCGTAATGTTTACAAATTATGTATATAACACGTATTGACAATCGATAATTCAATTTTAAATTAAAATAATATAAAAGATATAAATATTAAATACATCAGCCTGACTTATACAATGTATAAAACTTGATGTAAATGAATGTCTCTGATTAGTGGTAATCAATTGTGTCAATCTTCCGGAGGGGTTGAAACCGTACTAATTGAATAACTAAAGAATATCTCGTATAGTGCCGGTTATAAGTTACGTTAATATCCCGCACTGTTTCAATCCAAATTTTAAAACTGCATAATATTAAACAGTACAAACAAAGATTTCACTATATAGTGAAAAAAAAAGATTATTTATGTATACAAAAATACCTTTTTGATTTTGATCAATTAAAATCTAGTTTTTTTTTTAATTTTTTTAAAAGTGAATCCGGACTGACCGTAGCCGTACTATGCGAAACATTGCTGTACATGTTTATCTAGTTAAAAAAAAAACTAACATTCTTATATAATATGCTCAAAACGTTGAACTTTTTATATTGTAACTTCTAGTTACTGTTTACGTTTTTTGCAAAGTAAATTTAACTTATTTTGCGTATTATATTCTAAATTGTATGTTTAAATATGTTTCTTATTGATCTATGATGAATATCGGTATAATCATTGCTATGAATCTAAATAAAGTTGTCTATATTTTCTAAAAAAAGAAATAGCCGATTCTTGGAAGCATAATACAAATGATTGCAATTGTCAGATTGTTCTGTTAAAGTTGTAGAACAAAAAAAAAATAGTTGAATGGTATCTCGTAATTGGTGGTTAAAAACAGAAACTAATTATTGTCAGGAAATATCCAGACATTGCATCACTCGCAGATACAAACACACTTGAGCATGATGTAAAGTGCAGCAAACGGTACCGAAAACGCTTCCTGCTTTCTATACAGCCGTAAGAGCACCAACCCAATAGGTATCTCTCCACTCGAACGGCCTGTTATTATTTTTGAATCCTCGTTCCATTCGACGATGGGAGACAGACTACTCTTCAATTGTCCGTCCATCCAAATGTTTCGAATCTGGGGGGGGATTTTTATTATTTAAATGAATCGATGGGGAGCGAAAGTTTCGTAAGCCTCGACTAGACCGAGCACAGTTCTATCTCCCTTGCGTCCTCCACACATCAAATCCAGTTAAATAATTGAGAGATTATGAGAATGTGGGACGCTCGGAACAGAAAGAGAGACACACGGAACGCTCAATTTCCGAATCAAATATTAATCTGCCACCGAAATAAGCGCGATAAGCAGAAGGGGGATACCCGGATAATGATATCCTTCTCCTTCTCTTCATCCTCTTCCCTCCGCCTCTATCAAATTAGAACTACACGGTTGGAAATTGCTGAAAAATCCAACTGGCGATTATGTAAATCGGCTACTTTTATAGGAAATGTTCCGGCAAGGTGAGCAGGCTTTTTAAAATGGAATTACCGTGTGTGTGTGTGTGCACGCGCCTTCCACATTCCGCTGTGCCAGCTTAAATCGGTATTAAGCAAGGAGTCCGGGGAAATTATCGTCTATCGCTTTTTAATTGCGGAGAAACGGTATTTTCGGATGGTCCCTTTGATCGTCTCACCTTGATGATGATGTTGGCACCTGATCACTTCCTTCACCAATCGCGAATTACGTAATATCCACCATTATTCACAGATCGAAATTAACTCTTTCTCTTCTGTTTCAGCTCATCGGCTCTGCTATTTTGGCCATAGGCATATGGCTGGCCGTCGAATCTGAATCATTCATCAGTCTTCTGAAGGTCATACCCAAAGAACACCTAGCGGTAAGTCAAATCTGAACAAGTGTTAATATACATGTTACGACCAGTAGAATGGACATCCGCTATGTCAACATCTGTCATGATATGTTATTTGACATATGTATGGTTATGTTTGGATAATAACGTTGCGTCACTTACCTATAAACCATTCATTTAGAATGAATGATTGAGCACCAGTTATGTCAAAATCCATAAGTATGAGTTGGTCACCATTTGTGACAATAATAAGTTTGTTAAGTTATTTTTTTTATTTATATATCTAATATCATTTTTCGATTGTGAAACTTAAACTAATTGTATAATTTTCTATGATTTCACCAATTTAGAAGGTTTGATTATGTATCAAATTGGTCACCGTTCGCCATGATGAATCATCAGATGTTCTATGTTATTTGACAAATGTAAGGTTAAGTCTTGATTCCAAAATGAAAATATTTGTTGCGTGCCTTAAATAAACATATATCTTCATATAATGAAATACTATCAATATAAACATTCAAAATAATACCAATTTATACATCTGTTATTTTATAAAAGGTATAATTGAGTTGCAAACAGTAGTCACAATCCTCCATGAGGCAAAATCATGTAAATGATAACATTTTCTTTGAACAAAAAAAAACTGATTTAGAATTTTTGATTCAGAATATTCATAATTCCTATTATTTCACCTTTGAACACTTTGAGGGGCCAAGAAATTCCTAAATTTCTAGACACAACTAATTTTCAGAGAACTGAATCAGGCAACTTACTCAACTGAATCAATATCGGATGGTATGGACTATCAAGATTCATACCAACCAACTTAAATGGTAATTTCTCTTTCCTGTACATTTTCTAGAAAATTATAATAATATCCTAGGTATGTTCAAAAGGTGGTGGCGTGTACCATCGCCCCTCAAAGAGTTGAATAAGAAATGATGACGTAACTGACGTTTATGTACAAATTATTGATATTTGACAGATGTAATGTTATTATAGATTACCTAATTAAACCAAATGTCAGATTTAGAGAGTATATTAGAGTACCAATCAGACACTGCCAGGCACTCATAATTTAGATTACAAAATTCAATTAGTAATCACCAACATCGTTCAATCAAGTTACACTTTTATATTATCAATTAGTGTTAGTGCAAATCATTAATGCCATACTTTGACAAATACTTTAGTCTTATGTGTCAAAAATAATAATGACAATAATGATCTTATCTAAAACAAACTATTAAAAAATATCGTCTGAACTATTTAATAATGTCCTGATAAAATAAAGTGTTTTTAAATCAAATTTAATAATATTGGATGTACAATCCAGATTGCTCTATTTATAACAATAAAATTTAGTTTTATAGTAAAAAGATGGGAAAATAGATTAACAAAAAACATGCACACTTAAATCAATACTATATTACATGTTCATAATACACATAAAATGCAAGTTTAAGTTTGAAATATGTGAAAATCAATATTATATAAAAAAACAATTTCTGTCTACTTTAATGGTTAAATAATAAATAATATACGAGGATAGATTGATAGAAACATAAAACGTAAATTCTTTCTAGAAAACTATTTTTTAACATCCTTTTTATTTACAATCTATTTTATAATAAAAATATTCAGTGAATGTTCTAGCGGTTGACAAAATTTTAATTGGTGATTATCCTTTACTTATTGGTTATTTATTGAATCTCAATAGTCGATCGAGTGGCTTATGTCGCTTCAGTTACGTTTGGATGTCTGTCTAGTCTATTTTGGTATCGAGTACTGTTTTTCATGATTGTTTCCTCCACTGTTTCCATTGAAGGTCGTCATGATATTCTTAATATACCATGCATCACAAATGATCCTTCTTAGGCTCTTCGACTGGAATCTTTGTATGGTCGCAATATTAGATCTGCCCATAACTGTATTCCGTAGGTCCAAACAGAAACCTTTTTTTGAGAAACATTTCTTCTAGCTTCCAAATAGGTTTTTAGAATCATCTTCTATATCTTCTGTAAAGCTTATTTACTATTTTTTTTAGTTATTTTTCAAAAAAATATTCCGTTCATGTCTAAACATCGCTGAGAATAGTTTTTCAATAATCTCAAAATTTTCTTCATCTATGTCTGTTTTTAACGTAAATCAGGAGTAGCCAACTAGTTTATTTTAGAGATCGACTTGATTTCTTAAAAACGTGATCAAAATCTACCCAATCAATTAAAATGAAGTATTTTTATTACACATTTTTCACATTCTGTTTTATTGCTGAAATTATGTATATGCTATTATTGAAGAAATATATTTAGTTTCTTTGTGAATTTCCCAAGACCTATTTATTTTCTAATTTTATGCTCTTGTTTTCTTACATTATAACAATTTACTAGTTGCATACCTAAATAAAATATGGAATTTTGCCAGATGTCTTTTTCGTTGCGAATCTCTCAGGAGTCCTATTTTTAATGCGTACAATAAACATTACATCTTGTTACGTTCTCAAGTTTACTTCTTATTAGTTTAGTACAAAAATAAATATACCATGGAGCTCCAATGATCTTTCTTAGGCTCTTCGACTGGAATCTTTGTATGATCGCAATATTAGAATTGTTAAATAAATAAATGCATTTAATTTGTTTATACAAATATAATTATTCTTTATTTAAGTCTACTTCAGAGTAATATAATTAATTATGAATGAAATAATAGAAAGAAAAACTGTAAATTTTGTTATGAATTAATTATTGTAGCATAAAAAAGTAACAGTAATAAAAATTTTATAACATTATTTTGTTTTATATTAAAATAATGTATTTAATTAAGTAATTTACAAAAAGGAAAAGCATAAAATTAAGGAATTAAATCAAGTTTTGATGTGTTTATGTTTTTAAATTAATAATTGTAATTGAAATTAAATGTTTGTACATGTGCAAACTTCATTCGATTGTATTTGTCATGTCTACAATGATTAGAAGTAAATGTGTCTAATGGGTTGTATATAATTTAATAGACTAATTTATAAAGCAGATATAAGGGTAGTCACTATCATATATAAATGTACTGGACCTCCCATGAATACAAATACCCTCATACATATATTACTGATATTGTATTAAAATACCAGTATCTTATATGCATAATATAAACGATTAAAGTAAAGCACTTAATGTTATCAAAATATCAACTATTTAGTGTATATTTAGGTATTGGACATGATAATTAATTAATAATTTTTTAAATCATCAATTTTCTAATTTAATTCTAATGTGATAGTTCGAGATAGTTTGCATTATTTTTATATTGAAGCTGAATCAGATCATTTTTATTACTTATAAACTAATGTTATACATTTATTTTTATGATAGTTCAATTCCTATTATGATTTTGTTAATTTAATGTTCTACAAATTAGTAAAACTGATACAAGTACAATGAATACAAGTTGCTTAACTTACGTATAAATAAAATATGAATAGAATTCATTACCATATTGACTTCACATGTCGTTCATTATATAATTATTATTTCATATGCATCAGAACTTTGCTTAAGGAGCACCTCGCATAACGAGTAGTTCGCATAAGTAAAGTGTAACAAAATTGACTCGCTTAACGAAATTTTACATAACGAGTAACGAGGAGAAGAGTAGTCCCAGATTCTGCGCGTGCAACATCATTTTCCAAACTTGTGTTCAAACATATTATATGTATCTTTTTATGCAGAATTTAACAACTCTTGCAAAAATATACCCCAAGCTGCTTAACGAGCATAACCCATTCCAAAATTTCCCAATTTTTTCTCTTATAGTGAAAAAATGTTCCCATATAATCTTATGTAATATACGATAATGCGTTCCATTTTGCGAGTTATTTTCATACAATTTAGTTTGTTCGTTAGTGGAACCTCACTGTATTTATTTTAATGTTTTTCACCAATTCAAGTACAATCAAGAATGTATGTTGCTTAACTTTCGTAAATTAAATAAAATTAACTACTAATCGAGTTCACGTGTCGTTTTGTGTCGATGTAATTTATTTATTCGGCCACATTCTAATCTTTGGCCTTTTACATTCATATTTCCAAATGATAAACTTCTCAGAAAACGATTTTGCATTTATTACAGAATATTCACATTTTTCATTGATTGAAGACGGATGTTGAATACACTGTTGTTTTTATATATGAATTATCAAAACATGGATCAGAATTATGTTAGTTAAGTAGAATACACATATTTTTTTTATAATTTAAATCAATTTTTTTGTATTTTTTTATAGAAAATTTAAAAAATACGTTAATGGAAAATTTTTAATATTGTCAATAAAAATTAAATCAGAAAACATTTTTTTTTTCCAAATTAAGTTTATCTTAAATTTATTTAAAAAACATAGAATGTTATTTAATGGGCAATTTTCTAATTTAATTACCTTTTTGACAAAAATATTTGTGTTAATGTTAACGAAAACTTTCCTTAATTAATTAATAATTTTCTAAGTCATTTGTTTGTAAATATATAATATTCTTGTTATTTATTATTATCAATTTTCTAATGTAATTATAATGTGTTGAATAATTTCTTAATTTCATTTGAAATAAATATATTGATATATTTTGTAATTAATATTATTTTGAAGATTACAATTAAATTTCATTAGAACTAGAACTACTATAGAAGTAACAGTCATACCATGATAATTTGATGGTAATTAAGCGTATGAAGATAAGAAAATAACAGTACAAAAATGATAAATTGCGAAGTACATTACGCAATGTTTACTCTTGTTCTAAATTTAATTGTCTATTCCATTATTGTTAATTTCATTCGTTAATAGTTTAATAGCAAATATTAAATTTACAGATTTTCAATTATTAAACATTTTTTGGCAATTCGATTTGAAAATAATTCGATTAATTTATGAACCAATTACTATTTACAATTATTTCTATCATAAAGTACATTTAAATACAATATTTTTATATTAATTAAATTTATTATTATTTTAATTATAATTTATAATGGGAATTTCGTCCAATATTTTT